CCAGCTTCGCGGCGCGCAGGGCGACGCGGCTCGCGGGCTCGGCGTCCGCGGCCGCGCGGGACCGCGACGGGTCGTAGACGCCGTGCTTCTCCTCGGCCCTGCGGCGCGCCTCGGCGACGTCGTCGAGCGCGCGCGACCGCGCGGAGATCTCCGGCTTGAAGCAGGTCTCGCGCAGCTCGCGCTCCCGCGTCTCCCGCGTCTCCCGCGCCGCGTCGCGCCGCTCGACGGCGCGGCGCCGCTCGCGCTCCGCGAAGGGCGCGAGGTCCCCCTTTTGGAGGATCGCCTCGGACCCGCGGCTCGGCTTCGTGCCGAGCCGCACGGCCGCCGCCGCCGCCGCCGCCGCGGCGGCGCGGTCGTCGTCGAGCCGCGCGCGCCGGTCCACGGACCGGCGCCACGCGTCGGCCGCGAGCCGCGCGGCGACGTCCGGCGCGGCCGCGGACGCCGCGGCCTCGGCGCCGAGGCGCGCGGACGCGTCCGCGGCGTGGCGGAGCATCTTCGTCGCGGCCCGCGCGGCCATGCGCCGCGACCCCTCGTCCCGGTTGATCTCCGGCGCGAAGGACGGCGCCGACTCGTCGCGGAGCCGCGACTCGAGCGTCTCGCGGCGCGCGCGCGCGGCGCGCTCGACGTCCGCGACGCGCTCGTGGAGGGGCCGCCGGTCGTAGCGCGGGCCCGGCACGTTGTTCGTGCCCGACGCGCCCGCGGCGCGGTTCGCGAGCGCGATGCCGCCCGAGTTCTCGTTGATTGTCGGCCGGAACGGCAGCTCGAGCGCCTTCGCCTCCGCGTCCGCGACCTGGCGCAGGCACCGCAGCTCGCGGCGCTCGCCGGCCTCGGCGTGGAGCCGCGCCGACGCCAGGAGCGCGTCGCGGGCGCTCACCTCCGCCGGCGGCGGCGGCGGCGGCGCCGCGGCCGTTGTGGCGCCCGGAGGCGGCGGCGGCGCGTCGCGCGTCGCGAGCGCGGGGCGGAACGTGCACGACTCGGCGATCTCCTCCTCGATCTTCGCGAGGCGCGCGGCCTCGCGCGCCTCCCGCGCGGCCAGGTGGCTGCTCGCGAGCTCGCTCGCCTTGGCGCGCTGCTTCGTCGGCGACGCGGGCCCGCGGCGCTCGACCGTCGCGCGCTTCGCGCGCGCGGCCCGCGCGAGGCCCTCGCTCTTCTTTTCGTGCTCCGCGACGAAGGCCCGCAGGGACGGCCGCCGCGCGAGGTCCGACCGGGCCCGCGCGGCCCGCGCGAGCGCGTCGCTCCGCTTCTCCGCGGCCGGCGGCTCCGGCGGCGGCTCCTCGCCGCGGCTCGACCGCGACGCGTCGTCCCACGCCGCCGCGAAGGACTCGCGCGCGTCCGACAGGTTCGCCAGCAGGTTCACGAGGTGCTCCGTCGACGCCAGCTCCGCGGCCGCGTCGCGCGGCGGCGGCTCCTCGCCCGGGACCGCCGGCATGAAGATGCTGGCGTGGAGCCGGTCGGCGCCGCGCTCCTCCTCGGCGCTGATGTCGCCGAGGTCGCTGGCGAGGTTGAGGAGGGTGTCCATCCTCTCTGGTTTGGGCTCTGGGTTTTAGGCTGCCAACGCTCGTATAATCAGTTCGAAGCTCATGCGAAGCCCATCGGCACGCCGTCAACGACGGTTCGAGATTTTCACCAAAATCGACCCCGGCGACGCGTCGACAGCCGTCGATGAACGACGCGATTTGTCTAGCTACGCAGCGGAACGAAGGAGGGCTCTCTTGGCGACGTGTAACAGCCGAGATGGTCCCCAGCCGAGCCGATGGCGTCGCGGTGTGCGCCCACGAAGTCGTCGTTTTGGGGCGATTTGGTGGACTTTGTCTCGAGTGTCGACCTCGACGCTCGAGCTCGATCGCGGGCTGCGGAGGCGCCGATCGCCTCGGCAAGTGCACACGCGCGCGCGATCCTTGCGCGTCCCAACGCGCGCATCTCGTGCAGCGCAAGGCTCGCGGCAGTCGTGGGCATTCGCGCCGCATCGCTCGCGGCGCCGGAAACGCGCAACGATGGCGCTCGTCGCGGCGACGACGTCCATGGCGCCCGCGCCCGAGGTCGACGACTTCGCGACGCTCTGCGAGGTGGAGACGGCGGTCGTGGCGAAGATGCAGGGCGACGAGCGCGGCGGCTTCGACCTCTGCGAGCAGCTGAGCCACGGCTGGGCCTGGGCGCAGTCGTTCGGGTCGACGGCGGCGGCGGCGCGCGGCGCGCACGAGTACTTCAGCGAGCCCTTCGGGTCCCAGGGCCTGGGTTTGGCCGTGCGGGGCTTCGCGCGCTGGCCCGCCTTCGTCACCGCCGAGGCGCGGCGCCTGGGCGCCGCGGGCGCGCCGCAGTCCGCGGGGCTGCTGCCGGAGATCGGCTGCGCGTGGGCCGCGCTCGGCGCGGCGCTCGTCGTCTGGGACTACCGGCGCGGCGACGACTTCGCCGTCTACGAGGGCTTGAGGGACGCCGTGTCCGCCGTGTGTCTGGCGCCGCCGAAGCCGCGGGTCTTCGTGGACGCGGTCAAGGACGTCCTGGTCGTCGCGACGCCGTCGGACGTCTCGCTCCTGGCGCTCGTCTTCGAGCCGGACGCGAACCAGCCGCCGGGCGCGCGGGGGCGTTTACGGGTCCTCCCGACGGAGTTCGGCGCGACGACGGCGGATCTGGACGGCGCGACGTTCGCGGGCGCCGCGGCGTCGCGCGACGGCCGCGTCTTCTTCGCGGCGTCCGACGGCTTCGTCCACGAGTTCGAGTACGCCGCGCGCGAGTCCGTGCTCGGGCGCGTGGCGCGCATGGTCCTGCCCGGCGGCAACCCGCCGGCGCCGCCGCCGCCGCCGCCGAACCCGGACGCGCCGAAGAAGCGGCCGCCGCCCGCGGGCTACGAGGGCTTCTCCGCGGCGAAGTGCGCGCGGCGCGACCCGTCGGCCGTGCGGCGCCTCGCCACGGCGCTGCTGCCGCCCTTCGCGCGGCCCGAGTGGCTGCTGCACCCCATGCGCTTCCTGGGCGTCGACGGCGCGGGCAAGGACGGCCTCGTCGACGTCGTCGTCGACGACGCGCGCGGCGCCTTGTACGCGTTGTCCGCGCGCGGCGTCCTCGGCGTCTACGACCTGGGCAAGCGGGGCCGGGACCTGCGCCACGTGGGCAGCGCCCGCGTCGCCGACGCGGCGAAGCTCTGGTCCGCGGCGCACTCCGCGCGCGACACGACGGCGCCGTCGCCGCAGCTCTTCGAGCCCGCGGCGCGCGGCGACGCGAAGATCGTCGCGGTCCACGTCGTGTCGCCGCTGGAGTCGGCGACGGTGCACTGCGTCTGCGTCGACGACGCGGGCTTCCGCTTCTACTTCTCGACGACGGCGCTCAAGAGCGGTCTGGGCGTGCGCGTCGACGCGGCGGCGAACGCGGCGCTACCGCCGCCGACCGCGGACGGCGCGGACGACGCGCTGCGGCCCCGGGCGCTGACGCTCGTCCACGTGCGCGCGCCGCCGCCGGCGGCCCTCTGGGACGGCGCGCGGCGCGCCCGGGCCGCGGGCCGGCGCCGCGAGGACCAGGTCTCCGCGCCGCCGTCGACGGACGCGCGAGAGCTCTACGGCGCCAAGGTCGGCGCGTCCTTCTACGGCAACGGCGTCTTCGTCGTCGCCAAGGCGTCGGGCCGCGACGCGGACCGCGTGCTCGAGTGCGCCGTCGACGCGCGCGACGCGCCGCGCGGCGCCGCGGCGAAGCCCGCGGAGCCCGGCCCGTCGCCCGGCGGCGGCTTCTTCTTCGGGCGGGGCTCCGCGCCGACGCCGTCGCCCGCGCGGGCGCCGTCGCCCGTGAGCGCCGGCGGCGACGGGCCCAAGTACGCTTTGCGGGAGGCCGTGTCCGAGCTCGTCGACGGCCGCGGCGACGACGGCTCGCCCGCGTCGCGGCTCGTGCCCAAGGTCTGGGCGCTCGGCGAGGCCTGCGACCGCGGCGGCATCGCCGCGAAGTTAAGGGCGTTGGCGGCGTTGAGCCGCACGCCGGCGCAGCGCGACGCGCGGCCCTACGACCGCCTCGTGGCGCCCCTGGCGGCCAGGGAGGGCGACGCGTTCGTCGCCGCGGAGCGGAAGCGGCGCCGGGCCGCGGCGGTGGCCGCGGGCAAGGGCAAGGATTTAGATGATGACGCCTTGGTGGCGCTGGGCGGCGGCGCCTACGACGGGGCGCCGTGCCCGCTGCGGCCGCTCCACGGCGGCCGCCACTTCGCGCTCGCGCTGCCCGACCGGCGCGGCGACGACGGCGGTTCCCCGCGGCCCCGCGAGTACGCGGCGGCCTTCGCGCGGCTCCCCGAGCTCGCGTCGCAGCACGTCGTCGGCGAGCGGCGCCTGGTGTGCCTGACGCGGCTCGGCGTCGAGGAGCTGGCCAAGGTGCGGCCCGTGGACGCGCTGCGGGAACTGCTGCGGTCGGACCTCGGCGACGGCGCGCGGCGCTTCGGGTCGCCGGCCGACGACAAGCGCTCGGGCGGCGGCGACGCGGCGCTCCGGGCCTTCGCCGAGTCCTACGGCCGCGCCGAGGCCTGCGCCATGGCCCTGGCCATCGCCTGCGGCGCGGACGCGGGCGGCGGCGGCCAGGTCGACGAGCCCGCGACGCGGCGCGCGGCGCTCGCGGCCGCGCTGGACCTCGGCGGGCGGCCGCGCTTCGTCGAGACGGCGACGACGTCGGCGTCGACGGCGACGCAGACGGCGCCGGTACCGGCCCTGAACGGCGGGTTCCGCGCGGGCGCGCCGTCGTGGCAGTCGCCGCAGGCGGCCGCGGCGGCCGCGCCGAGCCCCGCGGCCGCGCCCGCGCGGCCGGCGACGCTGCTCTGCACCTTCAAGCACAGCGACCGCCACGAGGCGTTGTTGTTGTTGGCGTCGCGGCTGTTGCGGCCCGTCTGGTTCAAGCCGCTGCTGTGGTTCGAGGACGGGTGCGACCGCGCGACGTTCCTTCTGGACGCCGCGGAGCTCCAGGCGCTGTCGACGCCCGTCCAGGAGCTGCGGAACGCCCTGCGCGACGAGCCGGCGCTGGCCGTCGCGACGCGGCGCGACGTCCTCGCCGCGGAGCGCGCGCGGCTCAGCGCCGCGGGCCTCGCGGGCGGGCCGCCCGCGCCGCGCGCGGAGCTGCCCGACGGACGAGGCCGCGCGCGACGCCGAGGCCGCGCGGCGCGAGGCCCGCGAGCTCCACGTCGTCTACCGCCTCGTGTCGCGGGCGACGCAGGCGCTCGCGCTCCTCGGCGTCCTCGGCCGCGCGCGCGAGGCCGAAGACCGCGCGCGCTGGGCGGAGGCGCGCGACGCGCCGCCGCCGGGCGCGCCCGCCGGGAGCCTCCTGGGCCTGCTCGGCGGGCCGGCCAAGGCCGCGCCGAAGCGGCCGGCGACGGCCGTCGACGCGCGGCTCAAGCAGGTGGGCTCGCGGACGCTGCGGGAGCTCGTCGTGTCGCGCGACGCGCACGACGCGGTCCGCGAGTGCCTGCGCGCGCTCACGGCGCCCGTGTCCGTCGGCGAGGCGCTGCTGAGCGACCGGCGGCCGCCGGCGGCGCCGGCGCCGGCGCCCGAGAAAAGCGGCGCGCCCGCGGCCGCGGCGCCCGCGGCGCCGGCGTACGCGTGGCCCGAGGCGCTCGCGCGCGAGCTCGGCGGCCACTGCTACCTCTACTTCAACGGCGGCGACGCGCTGGCCCACGGCGCGTCGCTCCACCTCGCCAAGGCGGCGCGCCTGACGGAGGGCCTGCGCCACGCGGAGGCCGAGGACGCGCGCGCCGCGGCGGCCGCGGCGTACCTCCGCGCCGCCGGGGCCTGGCGGTCCCCGAGCGACGTGCTGCCCGCGGCGGCGCCCGGCGCGTCGCCGCCGGCGCTGGCCACGGCCTGCGACGCCCTGCGCGTCCACGGCTGCGCCGCCGCGGCCGTCGAGGTCGCCCTCGCGTGCGCGAAGAACTTCGCGCCCGCGTCCGTCCCCGGCGACGCCGGCGACGCGGAGCTCGCGGGCGACCACTGGGAGCTCGCGCTCTACCGGGGCCGCCCGCCCGACGGCGCCCAGCGCCGCGACGAGGACGCGCGCGAGGCCTGCCACGACGTCGCGCTCGACGCTTTAAAGCGCGAGCTCTGGCGCTGCGGCGCGGCCGGCGACGCGCGCGCCGACGAGGCGCGCGGCGACGGCGCCGACGGGGCTTTGCTGGCCTGCTGCGGCGCGAAGCGCGGGCCCTTCCTCGACCGGTGCCTCGAGGCGGCCAAGGCCGCGGACGACCGGCGGCTGGTCAAGTTGCCGCTCGACGCCGTCGAGGTCTACCTCCGCGCCGCGGACCCGGGCCTGCTCTGGCGCCACCACCTGGCCCACGGCGAGGACGCGCGGGCCGCGGCGCTCATGGAGGACCTGGCGACGGCGCCCGGCGGCGACCTCGACGCGCGCGTGTCGTGCCTCGTCCGCGCGGCCGAGTCCGCGCGGCGCGCGGCGCGCGCGGGCGGCGCCGCCGCGCCGGGCGCGTCCGCGCCGCCGCGCTACGACGCGGCGAAGATCCGCGAGCTCGACGAGCTGCTGGCCGTGGCGCGGCTCCAGCAGCGGTGCCTCCGGCGCGCGGCGGACCTGCTCGTCGACGCGCGGCGCGCGACGGCCGACGCCGAGGCGGCCGCGCGGCGCGCGGCCGCCGACGGCGAGCCCGGCGGCGAGGCGGCCCAGCTCCACGACGCCGGCCTGGAGAACGAGCGCGCCCTGGACCTCGAGCGCGTCGCCGCGACGCTGGAGGAGCGGCTCGTCGGCGTCAGCGAGCTCTACAACGACGTCGCGAGCCGCTACGGCATGTGGGACCTCTGCCTCGTGACCTTGAAAGTCTGCGGCCACGACGACGAGCCCCTGGCCGTCAAGCTCTGGACGTCGCTGCTCCGGCGCCTCGTGCCGCGGCGCGCGCGGGACGCGAGCGCCCAGGCGCGCCTCGGCGACGCGGGCTTCTGGGCCGCGCCGGGCAACGGCGACGGCGACGAGCCCTACTGGGACGACGGCCGCGCGGCGAGCGGCGCCTTCTTCGAGGACCGCACGTGGCTGCGGCCCCTCTGCGACGCCGTCGCGTCGCTGGGGCGCGAGCTCGCCGACGACGACGGCGAGCTGGGCGACGCGGGCGCCGCGGACGACGCGCCGTGGACGTCCGCGGCGTTCCCGCTCCGCGCGCTCGTCGCGTTGCTCCAGCGCCTCGCGACCCTGCTCTACGAGACGACGCGCGCGGGCGCCGCGGACGGCGCGCGGCCCGCGGCGCCGACGTGGCCCAAGGACGCGCTCCGCGCGGCGGGGGCGCCGCGCCTCGCGCTCTTCCTCGCCCTGCTCCAGGTCGGCGCCGCGCGCGACGCGTCGGACTTGGAGAAGCTCCACGCGCTCGCCAACGCCGCGGACGTCCTCGACGCCTGGGCGACGGCCGCGGCCAACGACGTCCGCGAGCGCCGCGCCTTCGCGTCGGGGCTGCGCCACGGCGCGGACCCGGAGCACCTCATCGCCACGCTCCGCGGCTTCGAGCACACGGCCGACCCCCTCCTCGACAAGACCCTCAACCTCCTCCACAACACGAGGGACCGCGTCGACGCCATCTTCTCCCGCTGAAGGTACGCGGTTTCTCTCCCCTCCCCCTTCCCTCCCCCCGATAAGGCTTATCTCCAGTCGCCGCGGCCGTCGAGGAGGCGGAGGAGGGCATGGTCGTTTTTCAATTTCTTGTAGCTGCACTCAGCTCCTGAAAACCATCCGAACTTGAGCGATAGCTGCTGCGCTTGGTACTCGTATGCTCCGCTCGGCAGCCTCACGCTCTTTGTGGCGAGTGTCGCGTTGCTGTTGAGTGTTTCGAGATAGTGGGTTTGTGCGAGCGCTTCCTCCGTGTTGGTCAATTGAGCCCATCGCGTAATTTCAAAGGGATTTTCCATGTAGTATGGGAAGTTGTCAATTCCCCAATCATTTTCGAGATCTGGGATCATCGAGATGGTTCCCTGAAAGAGCGGAAGAAATCGGCCATCACTTCGCACGATGGTAACTTTGGCATTTCCTACCACCTTCGCTCGCTCCAAAAATGCATAGGGGTCTTCATACTCGGGGTCTCCGAACTCCGTATCTGGGTCTTCGTAATCGAAGTCCGGGTCCCAGCCCGCTGCGAGCTTTGCACTCTCGAGCACATTCACGTTGCGGACTTGAACTGGAAGGTCCAGGTATAATGACGTTCCATCCGCACCCTCGAAGTACTTCTTGAACATAGCGTGGCGCTCGACAAAGCGCCTGCCGTTGAGCAAGGTGCATTCGACGATGCATTCGTAGTCGAACATCCTACTGCGCCATCGCGTGCCGCGTTCGTCTGCCAACATAACCGCAAGCACCTCAGGCCCTTGGAGCCGCGCGTCAGCGATTCTTTGTAAAACAGGGGGACTGTGCAGAATTGGCACCGCTCGTGCGAGCGCGGCCATGACTGGCCTCTTCGCCAGCGCTTGGAGGCGCTCCTTGGACGTCGCGGCGAGGGCCGCGGACGCCAGCGGCGTCAGGTAGTCCGTGAGCACGGGCAGCTGCACGTCGAAGAACTTCGCGATGGTCGCCGCCGAGGCCCGGGGCGTCGTCGAGGAGCCGCGCCGCTGCTTGCGCGCGCGCGCGCCCGCCGTCGACTCCGCCATCGGTACCTGCGTGTACGCGCGCTGATTCCCCACCCGCGATGGAGGCGACGGGTCGGGTGCCCAGCATATGGCGAGTCGGTCTCCGCCGATGTATACGGAAGGCCCTCGGAACATGGAGGAAACATGGACGTGGCGGCAAAATACGGCGTGGGAGGGTTGGGGTGCGAGGAGGGAAAGGGCGCGCACCTTGCAGCTCGCCCGAGTGCTGGGGCTGGGTCAGCGCTTGAGGTAGGTGCCCGCGGGGTCCCTCGAAGCTGTCGGGCGCACCGCCGCGCGCGCGCAGGCCGTCGTGCGCGCTCGCGACGCCGACGCCGGCTGTGGAGGTCAGCGATTCCCAAACCTTGCAGCTCGCGCGATGTGCGCGCCAAACGCGTCGTGCTAGCAACGCAACGCAAGCATGGCCGCGCCCGACGCCCAGCAATACGTCGCGCAGTTCGAGCAGTGCGTGGCGGCGTTGCAGACGGGCGCGAACGCGGCGCAGGCCACGAAGACGCTCCTGGCGCTGCGCGAGGACCCGCGCTGCCTCGAGATCGCCCAGTGCGTGCTCGCCGGTTCCGCGAGCCGCGAGGCCCAGTTCCACGCGCTGACGCTCTTCCGCGAGGGCGCGCTGCAGCGCTGGGCGTCGCTCGGCGCACCGCAGCGGTCCGGAGCCGCGGGCCTCGCGCTCGACTTCGCCGCGCGCCTCGACCCGGGCGCGGAGCCCTTCGTGTCCGCGGCGGCGCTGCGCGCCTTCGCGGCGCTCTGGGCGCGCGGCTTCGCCGACGCCGCGCGGGGCCCGAAGGAGGCCACGCGCGCGCTCGCGCGCGACGTGCTCGCGAAGGTCAAGGCGGCCGCGGGCGACCGCGGCGACGTGCTCTGCAACGCGCTCGGCGCGCTCGTGCAGCAGTTCTCGGGCCTTGAAAACACGCTCGGCGTCGCCAAGGGGCTGCGCGACGCCGCGCGGCAGCGCGTCGAGACGCAGGCGCTCTTCGACGTCGCGAAGATCGCCTTCGGCGCGTTACGCGCGTGCGCGGCCGCGCCCGGCGACGTGCCGCGCGACGCCGCGGCGGCGGCGGAGCTCGCGGAGCAGGTGCTCGGCTGGGACTTTAGCGGCGCCGGCGACGCGCTGACGGCGCGCGTCGCGCCGCCGGCGCCCTGGAAGGCGCTCCTCGCCGACGGCGGCGCCTTGGACGCGTGCGCCGCTTTAATCGAGCGGTGCCCGCCGGGCCACGCGGCGCGGCGCCCCGCGCGCGCCGCGGCGACGCTCCTGGCCTCGGCGCAGGGCGAGGCCGTCGTCGCCAACGAGGCCGCGTACCGGCGGAGCGCCGCGGCGTGCGCGACGCGCGTCGCCGCGTCAGCGGCGGCGCACGCGGCGGCCGCGAGAACGTTCGACGACGCCGTCGCGGAGCTCCGGAGCGCCGCGGATTTGGTGTCCGCGGTCTTCGGCGCCGCCGGCGGCGCGTCCCAGGTCGCGGCGGACGTGTTGGGGCCCTTGCTCGAGGCGTCGGCGCGGAACTGCGACTGGGTCGCGAGCCGCTGCGTCGAGCGCGCGGCCGCGGCGACGGCCGCCGTCGTCGACGCCGCGCGACAGCGAACCAACCACGGCCTCGTCGCCCGCGCGGCGGCGGCGGCCGACGACGCCGACGCGGCCCTGGACGAGGGCCTCGCGCCGCTCTTGGAGGCGTGGGCGCTCGTCGCGGGCGACGAGGCGGTCGTCCTCTACGACGCCGCGGCCGCCGAGGGCTCGAACGCGCGGCCCCCCTGGCTCCACGCCGTCGTCGCCGAGGTCGGCGCGTCGGTCTTCGGCCGCTACGCGCGGTGCCGCGTGGAGGCCGCGCGCGCGCAGGCCGCCGCGGGCGTCTTGGGAGAGCTCGAGGAGGACGCGTCGGCCGACGACGTCGCCGCGGGCGACGCGCGCGAGCGGCTCGAGACGGCCGCCGCCGTCGGCCGGCGCCACGTCGCCGCGTCCTGCCGGGCTTTAGACGAATTGCTGACGACGGCGCTCGAGCGCGTCGGGGCCCTGGGTGCCGCGACGGACGCGTTGGAAGTCGACGCGACGCTCGAGGAAGTTGTGGTATTAGCGGACCTCGCGGGCGCCCTGCTCGCGGACGACGACAGCAGCGGCGAGACCGTCGCCGTGCCGCTAGCCATCGCGGCGGCGGCGCGGCGCGACGGCGACGCCGCGGGCGCCGCCGCGGCTTTGCTGCACAAGGTGCTCTCGTTGGTGCAAACGGACGTTCGGCGGCCGTCGTCGCCGGCCGTCGCGGCGTGCCTCGCCGCGTTCCTGGCGCGCCTGCTCGCGGCCTACGCGCGCGCGCCCGACGCGCCGCCGGGGCCCCTCGGCGACTTCGCCGCCGCGGCGCCCCAAGTCGTCGCGGGCGCGCTGGGCGCCGCGGCGGCGTGGCTGGCCGCGTGGCGCGCGGAGCCGGCCGTCGTCGCCGGCTGCGCGCGGCTCATTACGGTGGCGGCGACGGCGCGGCGCGGCGCGCTCGCCGGCGACGCGGCCGCGGCGGACGCGACGCTGCCGCTGCTGGAGGCGCACGGCGCGGCGTTGATCGGCGACGCGACGCCGCTCGCCGCGGGGTTTCGCCGCGCGCCGCCGGCGCTGCGCGCGGACGTGGCGCGGGCCTGCGGCGACCTCGCGCTCGCGCTCGACGCTTTAGGCGCGCGCCACTTTGAAGCGCTGGGCGGAGCCGTGGCGCGCGCGCTCGCGGACGCGCTGCGCGCGGACGACGGCGACGGCGCGGACGCCGCGCTGCGCTGCTACGCGGGGCTCGGCGGCGCGAGCGCGGCCCAGGGCTTCGACGGCGCCGGCGCCGCGGCCGCGCGGCGGCTCCCGGGCGACGCCGTCGCGGCGATGGTCGACCCGCTGCTCCGCGACCTGGAGGCGCGGCCGCGGCGGCCGCTCGCGTCCGCGGCGCTCGCCGCGGTGGGCGCGACGCTGGCCGCGCAGCTGCCCTACGCGTCGCCGGACGCGCGGCGCGCCCTCTTCGCCGCCGCGCCGCGGGCCATGGCGCTCTGCGCGGCGGACCGCTTCGGGTTAAGAGGCGACGCGGACGCCGCGCACGACGACCTCGACGAGGCGCTCCGGGTCGTCGACGCGCTCGTCTCCGACGACCTGTTCGGCGACGACGACGGCGCCGACGCCGTCGGCGCGGGGCTGGCGTGCCTCGGGTTCCTCGTGCCGAACCTGGACGCGGACCTGCTCTGCCGGCGCGCGGACGCCGCGCGGAAATTCTACGGGTCGGTCGCCGCGGCCGTCGACGCGGCGCCGGAGCGCGTCGCGGGCCACGCGTCGCTCGGCGCCGTCGTCCCGGCGCTCCACTTCGGCTACGGCCTCCCGGACGCCGTCGCCGCGCGCGCGGCGCTCTCGTCGACGCGCGGCCTCGCGGCCTACTACGCGGCGCTCGACGGCGCCGCGCGCGGCGCGGCCGCGGAGACCTGGCTCGCCTGCGCCGGCGCGCTCCTGCGGCCGCTCCTCGCCCACGCGGGCGCCGTCTGGGACCGCGCGGACGACGCCGCGGACGCGCTCTTGGCGCTCTTCGCGGCCGCGGACGGCGCGGCGCCCGCGGCCGTCGCCGCGGCCGTCGCGCCCGCGGACGGCGCGGCGGCGGCGCAGCTCGGCGAGGACGTCGCGGCCCTCGCGGCCCACGCCGCGCAGCTGCTGCGGAGCGCGGGCGCGCCGAGCCTCGCGGCCGCGCTCCGCCGGCGCGAGACGCGGCGGCTCTGGCGGGACGCGTTCGCCGCGTTCCTGACCAAGGCGCGGGGGTACCTGATTCAATCGTGATAAATGTGGCTTTAGAAGCAAAAGTCAGCACTCACTGCCTGCGGCCGCTTCCCCGTGACACTGGTCCGTTGATCCACACATAAATATTACGCGGTCGCGGCGCTACCTGGTTCCATTAAGCTTGGTTTGCTGGTAGCCGCGGAGACGCGAACGCGCGTCCGAGATTGAAGATGATGCTGGAGTTCGTGAGACGGCGGAGAGAGTGTGGTCAGATGGCTTCAATGGGCAGGCCGAATCTACCGGAACTGCTGCTCAGCGCTCCTCGGATTCGGACGCGGAGCTCGTCACGACGGAGGCCGCATTCGCGCCGTTGGCTTCGACCTCAGAATTCGCCTCAGCCATAACCTTCAATTCGGAGAGGACTTCCTTCATATTTGCGATGGTCTGAACAGCGTTAGCGCGCTGCTCGCCGACATCGTCGTCCTCGTAGGCATGCGCGTGGATTTCGCGGCTGACGAGGAGCGTAGCATCGATCCACGCGTTGCGCTCAAGGATGGCGAGGTCGCGGATGTTCTTCATCATATTGTCGGTCACAGACTTCTTCTCGACGGCCCAGACAGCCTTGATAGCATTGAGGCAGCGCTTCGCGACGTGCTCGCGGATCGATTTACGACGATCTTCCTGGTTGAGAGCGCCGCGGACTTCGCGCAGTTTCTTGACAATACTATCGCGCCTCGTTTCATCATCAACGTGAACAAGTCCCACAACAACGTCCTTGTTAAACGTCGCAGCAACCCGATCGATCACGTCGTCGGGCATGATCTGTTGCTCGAGGTACTTATCGAAAATGTAATGGTTCGCGGTGCCGTATAGAATCGTCGCTTCGATGGTCTTGTTGAAGGCATCTTCGAGATTCTCGATTATCAATGTCGTCTTGGCTTCCCAGGCCACTTCAATCACAGCGCTCAGACGCTTCGATACACCGACGCCGTGCTCCTGGATTCCGCGCATCGACTGAGAAAGTTTTTTCTTTACGTCATTGAGCAAACGCGTCATCGGCGGCTTCCACCACGAAACGACCTCTTCCATGGCTCGCAAATAGATCTTCTCGCCTTGAAAGAAAGGGCTCTCGAATGCATTGGTCTCCATGAAGGGCTCGAGCCAGGCTTCAGTCAGCTTCTCTCCAGTATCGTGGACGGCCTCTTGAAACTTTTCCATCGCGGGGGTGATTGCGACCTCAAAGCTCGGCGTCGACTTCGCCAGCGCCCGCTGGCACTCCCGGAGCATCGCGAAAGGAGTGAGCGCATCCGTTCCCATCTTGCGCAATTCGCCTTCTTTTTCCGCGAGTCGAGAGCGCGCCGCTGACTCGAGCGCGGGAATCGACTTTCGCACCAGGGTCGTAAAGAGATCAGGAAGCCGATCTTTAAGCGTCACGATAGCGGCACGGCTCGCAGGCAACGACACGCCGCTCTTCTCCGCGCTCTCATCGAACGCGTCCTTTTCCGCGCCTTCGTCGTATCCCTTGTCTCCGTCCTCGCGACACACCACGGCGTGCGGCCCGAGAGCGCTCGAGAGCTGATCATTGACAAGCTTCATGGCCGCGAGCCGCGAATCATCGGAATCGAAGATGTCGAACTTGGTCAGGATTCGCCTACGCGCGACGCGGCGTGACGAGGCGTGACGCGCTCCGAAAACACGTTCAGCGCGCGCAAGACACCGGAGTTCTGCAGCGTGCGCTCTCGCGTAGGATCATGCTTCTCGGCGAGCTGGAGCGCAAAGATCCCCTCCTTGTCCTGTTTCGCCTCGGACACGAGGAGGATGAGAGTCTGGCTGGACGCGATGTATTTCTCGATGAGGTCCTTGGTCTCCGTCGCGCCGTCACCGTAATGGATGATGCCCGGTAGGTCGACGATCTGCAGATCCATTTGGTCCGGGCCCTCCATGCGCAACGCGATCTCGGACCCGGTCACCTTGCGGCCATCCTTGGATCCAGTCCCAATAAGATTCTTCTGTGCTTTCGCGATCGCGTCCTCGATGTCGTTCTCCTGAATTACTTCAAACTCGGCATCCGATCCGCGACGAATCTCGCACTTGAGCTGGTCCGCGCGCCGGCACTGCACCACCGTCGGCGCGCGCGTACAGATCCCGGACTTGACCGGGAACGGAACTTTCGTGAGGCACTCCAGGAGGCTCGACTTTCCAGACGATTGGTCACCGACAACACACAGCTGCGGAAGGCTGATCTCGCCGTCGCATTTGTCGCGCATGCGGGAGAGCGCGTCGAGCGTGGTCAGATACACTTCTTGCGCCGTCATATCTGCGAGTTTCTACGACCGGCTCGGCTTTTTCGACGATTGAGTCTCCGATTTGGGCCCGGGCCCCGGGGCCGGGCTAGTTAGCTACAAGGGCGACAGTGAGCATCCAGTGAATCTCACGCCTCCTCGGTAATGGGCGCGCTTGTTAGCAAACTTCCAAGCTCCAGCCTCGCTCGCAGTTACTGTAACCGATTAGTCTTGGCGCCGCGCGGCGCGGCGACGGTCCGCGCAAGCGCGGAGGGGCGTCGGCGCCGGAGGTCGCGCGGGCTCTCCGCCGCTCTGCGGGAGCGGGTCGCCCCCGGGGCCGCACGCGGGGCGAAGCGAGTCGCGTGTGGGCCCCGGCGGGGGGTGCGCGGAGCGGACGAGAGCGGCCGCCGCGGGGCTCCGACGCGCGCCGCCCGGCCCCCGGCCGTCGAACGAGACGACTCGGGGGCGCGGGGGCGGCGCCCCTAGCCCAGCATGGAGCCCTGGAATTCCTTGCGGAACTTGGTGGCCTCCGTGTGGTAGATGGACCGTTTTTTGTCGATCTCCTGCGTCGACGGCATGCGCATGGCCTCGAGGTTCAAGTTGTGCTCCTCCTTGGCCATGATGTAGGAGCCGAGGTCGTCGAGCACGGACTCGAACTGCTGCGTCTGGGCGAAGCGCTTCAGGTTGTCCTGCTCGAGCATCTTGACGATCTCGCTCTGCGCGTCGTCGAACATGTACGGCGTCACGTTCGTCGTCTCGAGGTCGTCCGTCTCCTTGGCGGACTCGATCTTCTTCGCGATGGCCTTGACCATCTTGTTCGGCAGGTTCACCTGGTGCTTGCTGGACGTGTCGACGTAGAGGTCGTTGATGTTGCCCGCGAGGAAGCCCAGGTTCAGCGCGGCCTGGTTGAGGACCTCCTGCGCGTCCTCGGGCGACTCCTTGATGGCGTCGGCCGTCTTCTTCGCCTTGGCGACGAGCTCCAGCGCCTCCGTGCGGTAGCGGCGCACGGCGTCCCAGAAGAAATAGTTCTCCTCCGCGTGCTCCGTCTCGAGGAACGCCTTGAACGCCGCGGACGTGAACGGGTGGCTGAGCACGGCGTTGCACGACGATTTTTCTCGCATGGCCTTGAGCTCGAACTCGGCGCTGGCGACGGGCGAGTACATGAAGGCGCTGCGGAACTGGGCCGCGCTCAGCCGCGCGCACGTCGACGACTCCGTCGCGATCGCCGACGCGTTCCGCGGCGCCTCGCTGACGAGGGCCATCTCCCCAAAGTACTCGCCCTGGCGCGTGATTTTCGCCAGGACCTGGTCGTCGTCGTCGGTGATGGTGATGACGCCCTGGAGCAACACGTAGAAGAAGTCGCCCTTGTCGCCGCACGAGAAGATGTAGTCGTTGCTCCCAAAGGTGATGGTCTCCATGTTCTGGAGGACGACGGCGAGGCGGCTCTGGGACAGGCCCTCGAAGATGGGCAGCTGCAGCGCCTGGAGCCGGCCCATGTCGCGGAGCTTCATGACCTGCTCGATGCCCGTCTGGCAGTGCGGGTGCATCTTGAGGAACTGCTTGAAGTCGACCCCGTTGAACTTGAGCACGAGGCACTGGGTCTGCGTGAAGACGGACGCGCTCACCTTGAGGCCCCGGCGGCCGCTGGCGCCGAGGTCGCCCAGAAGCGCGGACTCGCCGAAGAGCGCGCCGCTCTGGAGCGTGCCCAGGTCCTTCTTCTCCGTCTTGTCGTCGCTCAGCGACACCTGGAGCGTGCCGTGGAGGAGGATGTAGAAGGCGGACGCCACCGTGCCCTGCTTCAGGATCTCGACCTCGGGCCCGAGGCTCAGGAACGTGCCGATCTGCGCGAGGAGCGTGAGCTGCTGCTGGTCGAGCGAATCGAAGAAGTTGAAGCGCCGGAGCCACTTGGAGCAGTTGTCGTGGGTCAGCGTCGCGATGTTCTCCCGGAACTTCTCGTGCGCCGGCTCCTGGCCGTCGAGGATGTACTTCTCGTAGACCTCGAGGCTGAAGACGAGGAGCACGACGTCGTGGCCGCTGCACGCGAGCACGTCCGTCGGGCTGTTGTCGTGGACGTTCTTCGCCGCGTTCTTGCCGCCCTTCTGCTTCGCCGCCGTGACGGACTCGATGCCCTGGGCCATCTGCGTCGCGCCGAGCACGTCGCCCGCGCCGTAGCGGTGGAGCTCCGTGCCGCCCTCCTGGCCCGGGATGCCGTGCTTCGTGAGGAGCCGCAGGGCGCCGCTCTCGACGACGCACATGTCGTCGGGCTGCATGGATTTCGGGCCGTAGATGCTCTCCTCCTCCTTGATCTTCATGCGCACGAAGAGGGGGCAGATGACCTTGAGCGCGGCGTCCGGCTCGATGTCCTTGAGCAGCGGGGTCATGTCCAGCGTCTCGATCATCGACTCGGCCTCCTTGGCCTCCTTGGCCGTGGACCCGTGCGCGCCGCCCATGCTTCCGTCCCGCGCAGCGGACCCCGCGAAGAGCGACCGCCGGCCTCTCGCGGAGCGGACCCCGACGACGCCGCCCTCGCCCGGAGACGGGACGCCGCGCGGAAGCGAGCCACCAGCGGCGGCGGCCCGGTCCGGAAACGACGCGCCGGTCTCAGACGCCGGCCGAGCTGCCGCACACCGCGGACCGTCGGCCGAGCGCGGCCACCGTTCGACGCCGCCGAGCTCAGCGCTCGAGGGCTGCCCTTCTGTTTTGGATGTATCTCCGTTTTATGGATACTTAACTCGACTCAGCTCGAGGCTGGCGATTCCCTGCGATTCCCTAACTTGTACTTCTAGTACGAGCTCTGTAGAGCCTAGTATAAGTAGTAAACCTAGGAGCAATCTAGGAGCCTGAATTCAGACTTGAATTCAGGGACGGACGATGTCCGCCGCGGTGGCTGCCGCGAGCGCCGCGCGCGCGCGCACACCGCAGCCTCGGACGTGAGTCGGACACTTAGAGGAGGCGGGAGCGGGGAAGCGAGGGGGGGGCGCGGCGGGAAACACCGCCGGCGACCGGCTCACTTCTCGATGTGGGGCTGCCAGATCGTGTCCGCGAGCGCCATGAAGCCCGTGACGATGAGGAAGCGCGTCTGCTTCGGGCGGAGGAAGTCCATGTAGGGCACGACGAGGTTCGCGAGGCAGAGCCCGACGATGGAGTGGGCGACGAGGAAGAGGGCGCCCCAGACGTAGTCGTGGTAGATGGGGTCGCGGACCTCGGCGACCATGCCGTTGGCCTTGCGGTTCACGGGCGGCTGGCCGCGCTGGGCGAGGTGGGACACGAAGATGAGGGGCGCGCCGAACTTGAGGTAGTTGATGCCGCCGGGGAAGAAGAGCGCGCCGAACGCGAAGCCGAGCCAGTAGAGGCCCGACATCTTCACGTGCGCCATGCCGAGCTCGCGGTCCTTGGAGTTCTTGAGGTCGCCGATCTTCCAGAAGGGCTTGTACATGTAGGGGATCTTCTTGACGAACTTGGGCGTCGCCTTGGTCATCGCGCGGTTCAGCGCCTGGCTGTCGTAGTTCTCGAGCTCGCGGTCGCGCGCCGCGACCTCCGCCGTGACCCCGAAGGAGCCGGACACGCGCTGGCGCAGGCGCAGCTCCGAGATCTTGTCCTTGGCCACGTCGATCTTCAGCAGCTTCTTCGTGTCGCCCGCGTACTTGGCCTTGAGGTGCGCGACGGCCGCCTGCACCTCGTCGTACTCCGCGCTCGGCGGCACGCCGAGCATGCGGAAGTGCGCCGCGCCCTCGACGACCGTGGCCGGCGGCGGCGGCGGCGGCGGCACGAAGATGTTCCCGATCTGGTCCTTGAGACCCATCGTCGCCGTCGCCACCGTCGTCGACCGCCGCAGCGACCGGAGCGATCGCGCCGGCGCCGACATCCCGCTCCGCACGGCGAAGCCCGCCACGACGGGCAGGGTCGCGAGGAGCGCCATACACCTGGCCATGGTTAACGTGTTTTGGGGGGAGCTGCGCTCGCAGTCCGCGTCGTCGACGATATCAGACGAGCTCGACTGCTCCTTCAAGCGATCGAGGGCGGAAGCAACCAGGACACGCGGACAAAGTTTGAGTTGCCTTTGCGCTGCGCCGGCAAGGACGAAAACAACCATAGGGCTGGGCGCGCCCATAGAAGTAGTTATTTATTATTGCTGGCCGCCGGCCGTAGTATGTCATAGAGGTCCTCCGTCGACCCGCGCGTGCGACCACTGAAATCGAGGCAAAATTGTGGAATTATACCCCCCGCCATGCCGCAACGTCGGAATTGCGCGCTAATCGTATCGAAGGCGACATTTTAAGGGTGTGGGGTTGCCGGTTCGGGTCGGAAGTCGTGCTTATAAGTCAACAAGATGCTTACTTGAAGGGAAGTATCGCCCTGGGTTATTCGTTTTCAGATTTTGTTTTCGTCCTTGTGCGCCGGCGCGCCGACGGCGGCCTTACGGCCGCCCCGCTCGGTCGTCGGCAGCCATGGGGATGAGCGCCCCTCGCGGGCTTAGGGGGTCTGGGTTCGCGCGAGGGGCGCGGCGCTGCGCGCTCATCGAGCGGCGCGCGCGTTCGACTCGGAGCGCCGCGGCGGCCGCGCCGCGCTCTAGAGGAAGCAGTAGCGCGCCCCTTCCAGCTCGAGCATGCTCTTCGCGACGTCCTCCTCCTCGGACGAGAAGCTCCCGCGCGTCTCGCGCGGCGACGCGGCCGTGACGCGGCGGCGCTTCGCGCGGCCGCCCGCCGCGGCGCCGCGGCGCTTCGTCGCCGCCGCGCGCTTCTTCGCCGGCGGCGCGGCGTCGCCGCGCGCGCGCAGCGTCTTCTTGCGCGTCGTCGGCGTCACGACGGCCGGCGGCGCGGGGGACCCGGCGGCCGCGCGCTTGGCCTTGATCTTGCCGAGCTGGTCTTCGAGCGCCGCCGCGACGGCGCGCGTGTCCAGGGGCGGCGCCGCCTCCTCCGCCGGCGTCGCGAACTCCGCCGCGACGTCCTCGCCATCGTCGTACATGAGGTCGAAGGCCTCGGCCAGCGACAGCGCGCTGTCCCGCGGGGCGTCGTCGTTTTCGCAGGACATGGTGGGTGTAAGACCTGCGGAGGGCTGCCTCGCGCGACCGGGGCTGCCGCCCCCGCGCGCGCGCGGCCCCGCGCGACCCTGCGGCGGGCCAGCGGGGCGGCGAGGCGCACCTGACGGCGCGAATCGACGAGAATGATCGGCACCGGAACGGGGCAGCTTAAGGGTGGTAAAGCAACCGAGGGCAAAACGTTGCCACTTCACTATCTCTTCAATCTCAGCCTCCCGCGGGCCAGCTCATCGAGCATGCGCGCTCAATCCGGCTCGATGCGCCATTCAATCATACTCCTCCTCGTTCGCCGATGCACCTCCTCGGTCACACTGAGACCACCGCGCGCGACCACGTTCTTTAAGACGCGCGGCACCGCAAAGGACTTTGACAAGCAGGAAGCGGGAGTGTACTGTGGGGACCTCGCAGCCGAGCGCTACCTCGGCGCGCTGCCGGGCCTCAACGACTGGAGCCGCTGGCACGAGAGCCCGCCGGCGCTGCGCAACGGCCACGCGCACACGATCTTCGCCGCCAAGTGCCGCTTCACGGCGCGCGTGACGTACGCGCGCGAGTTCATCGACACGCCCGACGGCGGCACGCTCGCGCTCGACGTCGTTGTGGGAGCGGACGAAGACGACGTGAGCCGCAATCCCTCCGGCGCGACCTTCGTCAAAAATTCCGCCACCACCTCTGACGGCGCGCCGTTCCTCGTGCTCCTGAGCGGCCTCGGCGGCGGTTCGCAGGACACGTACGTGCGCGGGCAGGCGGCCGCGGCGCACGCGCGGGGCTGGCGCGTCGCCGTGCTCAACATGCGGTCCTGCGCCGAGTCGCCCGTGACGTCGCCGCGCTTCTTCTCCGCGCGGCGCGGGTCCACGGACGACGTGCGCGCGGCCGTCGACCGCATCCGGGAGACCTACGGACCGTCGCGGCTCTGCGCCATCGGCTGGTCCAACAGCGGCACCATCGTGGCCAACGCCCTGGCGGAGCAGGGCGACGCCGCCGGCCTCGACGCCGCCTGCTGCCTCGCGGCGCCCCTCGACATGCCGACGTCGTCCGCGAATTTGGAGAAACCGTTCCACAGGAACGTCTACGACCGGTCCATCGGCGGCTCGCTCGCGGAGAAGGTGCGCGGCGCCCGGGACCTCTTCCTCGACGACGCGGGCCGGCCCACGGCCGTGCCCGCCTGGGGCGGCGGCACGTTCGTCGCGGACGTCGACCGCGCGGCGGCGGCGTCGACGATCCGCGACGTCGACGAGGCCATCACGGCGCCCTGCTTCGGCTTCGAGACCGTCGACGCCTACTACGCCGACGCGTCCGCGGACCAGCGCGTCGCGGCCGTGGCGAAGCCCCTGCTCGTGGTCAACGCCGCGGACGACCCCATCGCGCGGTTCACGACGAAGCGCGGCGTCTTCGACTTCGACGCGCTGGCCGCGAACCCGAACGTCGTCGCGGCCGTCACGGCCCACGGCGGCCACCTGGGCTGGTGCGACGCGGCGGCGCCCTGCGGCCCGCCGAGTTGGCTCCAGGAGAACGCGCTCGACTTCCTCGACGTCGCCGCGCTCGACGCCGCGGACCGCGCGGCGCTCGCGCGGCGACGGGCGGCCTGAGCCTCGTCCATATAACAGCCTGTTACTCGTCGAAGAGCCCGCCCACCATCTGGGCGGCGAGCTGCGCCGCGCGGTCGTCGTCGTCCGCGGACTGCGAGCGCCGCGCGCGGGGCGCCGGGCCGAGGCTCAGGCCGCCGAGGTCCACGAGGCGCGCCTGCTCCGCGGGCGGGTCCCGGCGCGCCTGGGCCGCGAGCCGGTCCTCGGCCTGCCGCTCCGCGAGGATGAACGCCTCCATCTCCTCGTGCTCGGACTTCTTGGCGCCCTTGCCCTTCTTCTTCGCGGGCCGCGCGACGCGCTCCTTGTGCGGGATGACGCTGGCCTTGGCCGCCTTGTCGTCGCGGCGCAGGCCCTCGCGGTCGCCGCCGCCGGGCGTGTTGAAGTCGCCCTTGGCGAACGTGATGCCCAGGCCCTCGGCCTCGGCGCGCGCGCGCGACGAGTACTTGCGGAGGATCGCGCCGCCGACGTCGGGCGCCGCGGGTTGCGCGGGCCGCGGCGCGACGCCCGGCGGCGGCGCGAGGCCCGGCGCGGCGAGGCCGGGGGCGAGGCCGGGGCTCGGCGCCCGGCCCGGCGCCGCGAAGCCGGGGCTCGGCGCCCGGCCCGGCGCCGCGAGGCCCGGGGCGGCGAGCGGGCTCGCGGTCCGCGGCGCGGCGACGCCCGGCGGCGCGGCGACGCCCGGCGGCGCGCCAACGCCCGGCGCGCGGGCCCGGGGCGCCGTCCGCGCGAGGCCCGCGAGCATCTCCGCGGCGCCGTTCCGCGCCGCGAGCTCCGCGGCGGCCGCGCGGTCGCGGGCCGCGGCCTCCTCGTGGCGCCGCGCGCGGTCCTCGAGCTCCTGCGCGGCCTCCCGGTCCCGCGCGGCCGCCGCGGCGCGCTCCGCGAAGAGGAGCTCGCGCCGCGCGGCGGCCGCGGCGGCGTCGCGCTCGGCCTGCGCGGCCGCGGCCGCGCGCCGCTGCTCCGCGGCCTCGAGCTCGAGCCGCTCGAGCGCGCCGCGCTGCTGCTCGGAGACGGCCGCGGCCTGCCGCTCCGCGAGGATGAACGCCTCCATCTCCTCGCGCTCGGACTTCTTGGCGCCCTTGCCCTTCTTCTTCGCCAGCGCCTCGGCGTGCCGCCGCGCGGCGTAGGCCGTCTCCGTCTCGAAGAGCTCCTCGTAGGCCCGGGGCGTGCCGTCCGCCGCGAGCCGCGCGGCGCGGTTCGCCTCCTTCATCAGGAGGCCCAGGGCCGGTTGCGTCAGCACGTCGCCGAGGTCGTGGGGCCGCGGCGACGCCGCGTGCTCGAAGGGGTCCTCGATGCTCAGGCGCCACTTGAGGTTCGCCTGCCGCACCAGGTCGCAGTCGCGCCAGTGCTCGAGCTTCGGCGGCGTCCACCCCAGCCGCGGCGACACGACGACGTTCTTGACTTTCAAATCCTTCAGCCACTCGAAGTAGCCCGCGAGCAGCGCGGGCAGTTTCGCGTCGCCGCCCGCGTCCTCGAGCTCCTTCTTCCGCCGCTCCGCGCGGTTGCCCGCGATCTTCTTCGGGTCCTCGAAGAAGCAGTCGATGCCGTCGACGACGTCCGGGTAGCGGTGCTTCGGCTGCAGGTTGGGACAGACGCCCGCGATCTGCAGGTACGTCACGACCAGCAGGCAGTGCGCGAAGGGGCTCGGCGTGTGCTTCTGGTAGACCGTCGCGACGCCCCGCGCCTTCGCCCAGGCCTTGACCAGGATCAGCAGCCCCCGCGACGCCTTGCCGCCGGCCGCCGCGTAGGCCTTGAGCCACCGCGAGTTCCGCACGGGCACGGGCTGCCCGATGGTCAGGTCCACGGCCACGCGCCGGCCGCCGACGTGGGCCTTGAGCTTCAGGAGCGGGACGCGCGCGTCGGCGATGACCTCGAACTCGTCGAGCTGCAGCTCGCGCTCCCAGAGGTGGCGCGCGTTCAGCAGCGCCGCGCGCATGGCCCGCACGGCGGCGGCCTCGCCGCGCGCGAGGCCCGGGTGGCCGTAGGCGACCAGATCCACGTCCGACTCCGGGTTCGCGAGGCCCGACGCGCAGCTGCCGTAGACCTCGACGCGGCCGTCGGGGAAGGAGTCCTGGATCGCCGCGGAGAACAGGGCCGCGAGCCCCTCCGCAAAATCGAAGAGCGCGGGCCGCGCGGTCCGCGCGTCGGCGAACTTGGCGAGCCAGGCCGCCGCGGGCGGCAGCGACGGCGCCGCGGCCGGCGACGACGGCGGCGCCGGCTCCGGCGCGGGCGGCGCGGCGGCGACGGCCGCGGGCAGCAACGGCGGCGGCGCCGGCTCCAGCGGCGGCGGCGACGGCGGCGGCGCGGCGGCGAGGCCCGGCGGCGGCGGCGCCATGCCGGGCGGCGCCGCGGGCGCGAGGCCGGGCGGCGACGGCGCGAGCCCCGGCGGCCGCGCGGCGGCGATCGGCGGCCGCGCGGCGGCGATCCGCGCCCGCGCCTCCGCCGAGAGCCCTGGCGGCCGCGCGGCGGCGATGCGCGCGCGCGCCTCCGCCGAGAGCCCCGGCGGCCGCGCGTCGGCGATCGGCGGCCGCGCGGCGGCGATCCGCGCCCGCGTCTCCGCCGAGAGCCCTGGGGGCCGCGCGGCGGCGATCGGCGGCTGCGCCGCCGGCGCCCC